CAGGAATCACAACCCTGCTCTGCCCATCACGTCCTTTGGCAGCTACTGACAAAATGAGAATGGACATCCAGGACTTTGTCACCCTGGTTGGCAAGGAAGCCCTGGTCACCTGAGAGATGGGATGGTTGACCCAAGAGTTTGCCTTCCACAATATCTTGGAAAGCAAAAGTGCAACTTCTGGTGAGAAAAACTGCTTGCCATGAATGTTCAGTCTCACGTCAAGGTTGTAATAAAAAGCATCACGGTGTCCATAGAGAGATGGGACAACGCACCATTTGCAACACATCTGGCCCCTATTGTACGGGATTATGCTTGCCCCAGTTAAAACAAATCTCTGCTCGGAACTAGCTGAATACAGCCCAAATCTGCTCTGACTTAGATGTGGCATGAAAGAGAACATCCAGAGATGTTGGAACAGTACCGTTGTTCCCATAATATTGGATTTATATGTTAAAATGAGCAGATGTGGGGCGGTATCCAGGGAATTACATGACTCTTCCTAAACATATGTTAAAGCAAAATGTATGTGTGTGTATATATATATGTCTGCACTCTTAATTCTTATACTCCTTATGAGCCTCTCCAAAGGAGTTCAGAGGGAGACATCCTCCTACTTTTAAGCATCTAAAATTTAAGTACAACTAGACAGATTGTATCTCAGCCTTAGCCATCTGGTGGCAGCTGGTGCCACCTTTAGAAGGTGAATTACTCCAGCTAAGATCCGAATCCGTCACCGGGAAGGGCTGCCTTCTCCTATTGACTGCAGAGGCAGTCCAAGGTAACCAGGTTTCCATCTCAGGTAGCTGAAGTAAATGCCTAGAATTGGGTGGGATGAATCATGACCAGCATGCCTGTGCCTTAGGGTTTGTCTGTGCACGGAGTTATTGCAGAGAGCCATTACTCTTTCTGAATAGCATTTCATGTGGGTACACTTTCGGTTGAATAGGTCTTACTTACTCACTTCAACAGCGACTGCTCGGCAGAGGCAGAGCGGTTTGCTTCCTAGTCCTTATGCCAAATCCTTATGCAAGAGCTGCTGCCTTTTTCAGCTAGCTGTCCTACCTTAATCCAAATTTACTTTAGTATAAAAACACCCTAAATTTACCATCCATCCATCTTTGAGAGCCATTGAAGATTTATGGCGGTAAGCACATCAATTAAGCACAAATATGTTGACACACACGAAAAAAGAAAGCAAGCATCATATTCAATAAAAACTGATTTTTATTTCACAAATTATGGGTGTTATAAAGCATATTGTTTCAGGAGAAATGCCTGTATTTGGCAGCGTGTTTCATTAAAGAATAATAAAGCCATACATATTTCATTTCCTTGTTCTGAGCTGCAAGAGCCTTAACTATATAAAATGCCCCATGCTGCCCTTGCTTTGTTGGGATCTTTTTTTCTTTTTAATCAGATTTTCCCCCCTAAACTAATGAAATTGCTCTTTAAACACATACATCACTTTCATTTGAAGTGACTTATCACTGCCCAAATCGTTTCTCTCTTCGCCTGGAGAACAAGGCAACTGCCAGCACCTTTTGCTGTGCAGATCCAGGCCTGGATTGCCCCTCATCCCAGCCTGGTTTCAGCAGTGCTGAGTTTCTGGTGTTCCCACTGGTGTTGTTTTAGGTGGGGTATTAGGTAAGTGACACCTGTGGGGTCTGCACCTTGGATATTTGCACCAGTTCCTGGTCCACCTGATACCATATGTCATTTCTCTCTTCTCCTAGTATGCACCGACCCGCTGTGCAGCTGCGCAGACGTCCGCCGACCAAGGTGTCCTCCCTCCCTGCCATCACCACGAAGCAGTGCATGACCCCCAGCTGGTTCCCTGCACGTGCCCGCTCTTCTCCTGCCCATGGGAAGGGCACCTGGAGGTGGTGGTGTCCCACCTGAGGCAGACCCACCGCATCAACATCCTTCAGGGGGCAGAGATTGTCTTCCTGGCCACGGACATGCACCTGCCTGCACCCACGGACTGGATCATCATGCACTCTTGCCTTGGCCACCAGTTTTTGCTGGTTCTCAGGAAGCAGGAGAAGTATGAAGGCCACCCTCAGTTCTTCGCCACGATGATGCTGATCGGCACGCCAACCCAAGCCGACAACTTCACCTACCGGCTCGAGCTCAACAGGAACCAGAGGCGCCTTAAATGGGAGGCGACCCCGAGGTCAGTACTGGAGTGTGTTGACTCCGTCATTTCAGATGGGGATTGCCTTGTGCTGAACACTTCCCTGGCTCAGCTCTTTTCCGACAATGGAAGCCTAGCAATAGGAATTGCAATAACCACCAGCAAAGTTCACAATGCTGAAGCTGAAATGTGAAGGGAGAAGAGGAAGAAGATGAGGAAGAGGAGGAGAAACAATGGTGCTCTAGATGCCTTGTGAGAGCCAGAACTTATGGACTTTCTGGGGGGGTCTCAGGTCTTTTATGGTATTTAGTACTCGTCCACAGTGGGCATTATGTAAACATCCTGTGGTTACGGTCTCTGTGTAATGTATTTACCGTTTTGTTAATACAATTTTATGAGAAATTTTTAAGAGGCTAATCAATTTATTGTTGCCCTCCAGCAACAGTGGAAACAACACTTTCGCCTGGAAGGTGCACCCAGGGTGACTCACAGAAACCTTTGGTCTGAGCATGCTATGCAAATGTTTTTCCTTCATTGTCTGCCTAATTGCCTGGTATTAATATGACTGGTAAAAGGTAAAGTATTCCACTAAAGGGACAAAACCACTCAGGTTTCCACACTAGCAATAGTGATTTAGGTCTTAACACTGCAGTCACAGCCAAGCTCCGGGGAGCTTGCAGTTTCAGAACTCCCTTCAGCTTCTGAGCAAACAACCTTCACCACCCAATGAAAGCTCCAGAAGAAAAAAATCACCACCTCTGCTGAGCTCGGGCCTGGGAAGCCTTATCCTGCATTAAATCAGGGATTTAATGGGTAGTGGGTGGTCACAGTGAGCATGGTTAAATCCCACTCTTGTATCATGATGGACAGTGAGAATCTTGCTGGTTAGGCTGGCTCCAGGATGCATATAACCACAGACAGACAGCAGGGCATTCACCTTTTTGGCTGCTATTTCCTTAAGCATTCAAGAAGAGATTTCCAGAAAATAAAGTATGAGGACAGTCCTAAGTTGTGCACTGATCTTGCTATTGAATTCTGTGCCCCTTAGAGCCACAGTTTGTGCCGCTAAATATTGATTGAAAACAATGCAGCTGGAATATGTTTGCAAATTGGCTATGAGATTTGAAACTCTCTCCTTTAAAAATAATGTGTTGGGTTTTTTTTTCCACACACTGGAGGGTCATGATGGTCCCTTTCTTCTGCTGAGGGACAGATGGTGATGGTCACAAGAAAGCACAGACTTCTGTAAAAGCTTCTTCCTTGGATGGCTCCTTGGGGAGAGTCAGAGGCAGGAGATGGCCAGTCCTGACACTCCGTCCCATCTGCAGTCAGGCATGTTTCCTCCATAGCCAACAACAGCAGTGAAATCCCACCGCAGCAGGTGACGTGTTGGAGGAGGGGAGTCTACAGTGAGTGGGACACATGAGAAGCATGGGAAATTGTCTTTTCCTGTTTTCCCTTCTGCCCCTGTGTGGCTGTGGCCTGGCTGCTCCTGAATGCTTTTTTTTAAGAAACATCTGTTGGGTTGGGTCTGTTAGTCACTAGAGAGACTCATTGCTTGAGTCCCTTGGATAACCAAGGAAGGGGGGCCAAGTGAGCAAAGAACAGCCCTTCAGTGTTTCAAAAAGCATCTCGCTGTAGCTAGCTTTGGGTAGGCAAAAAGGTCTCTCCTGGGAATGATTATAAATGATGCATGAAGCCAAACGAATTGCAGCCTTCCTGAGACGAACGCTACGCAGGTAATGCCTTCTGAGTCGCAGATGCACCTCGACTTCCCCTCCCTGGGCTTTCACAGCAGGTCACCACTCAGAGAGGAGTCACGGTCTCTTCAATAAATTGCTCATGACCCCGCAGGCTTAGATCTGAAGAAGTCTCAGTCGCTGTAAGACTCTGCTGGGATGTACCTTCACAGCTCCCCCACCTCTGAATTTGGGAGGTCAGGGAGACATGACAGTTTTCAGCCCTCCACTGGAATACGTAGGCTTTGGAGTGGCTTGCTTTTTCCCTGCGATGTTAAATATTCAGAACCAGCAACTGATGCCCTTTGCCTAAATGATGGCAATAAATAAACCGCTGGCATTTTTGTGGACTGAAACTGGCTTCTCCAGTTCCTCCGGCAAACATTCTGCTGCTGAATTAAAACAAAGAAAAGGCAATAAAACCCCAATAAAAACAGTTCCTCTAGCTTAAAGTTCCTGAGCTCTTTGTACACTGTGGTAGAGACCTAACATAAATGCTGCTTTTGTTGCTTGATCACAACCAGTTCTACGGGGAGGGATATTCCTGGGGTATTCGCTTGTTCCAGACTGCTTACTTCTTGCTAGTAGGCACCTTTTGTTCTTGAAATATCCACTGAAATGAGGAATGTGCTCTTGGTATTTTTTTGGCATGCCCCTTGGCAAAAGACCAGTGTAGTTCTGTCAGGATGAGTGTGACAGCAGCAGTTCTCCAGTATGGGCGTCTCCATCTCTTGTCAGCAGCCTGGGTTTCTGGTTTCGATGGGGCAGAAGGCACAGTAGAAATGTGACCTCCCCGACACAAACCTCCTCACATCCCCTGTGTCCTTCTCCCAGAGCTTTCTCATGACCACACCAAAAGTTCAGCATTTCCATTTCCTTCCCAGCCCTCCCCCTCATCTGGCAGCCAGCCTTCTCAGTCCGCTCTCAAGCTTCCCCCTCCAGCTTGCAGAGCCCATGGCCCTTCTTGCCTCCTCCCACTTTTGCCTCTTGGGTGCCATTGCTTAAATTGTTCTCGCTGCTCTGTGTAGCCAACCAAGTAACCTCCTTGCTCAGCAATCTCCACAGTTGCAAAATCCCAGCTCTGGCAGGGATTTCAGAAATCCGGACATGTTGGACTACTGATGAAAATCTGTCCAGTAAGAGTCCCAGTACAGAAAAGGAGGACACATTTTGGGAAGAAAGGAGATATGGGTGCCAAAATCCTGTCTTCATAAGCATCTCAACATAAAACTCAAAAATCTAAGGGTATATTTAAGGACTTTCTACCACAGAAGACATTCTAATTATGTCATAATTCAAAACCTGTGAGCAACCCTTCACTACCATAAAGCAAAGGTGAAGAAAATATTCTGCATGGTGAGACATAAATCCTAAAATGTTGGCAACTAGGATCAACATTGAAATTCAGTTTACATGCAGTCTTTCAGTGCCCATAATATAGCACTTTTACAGCTCTCTACTCATGGTTGAAAGGCAGCTGTAACTTGGCTTCACAAATTTGGGCTGAAATTGGGGCTTCATTTCGTACTCTAATATTTTACATCCTTATAATGTATTATATCGAGTCACTCCAAGTTCCTTCAAAAATGTGAAGAACACAACCTTACTTCTCCTTGAAGTAAGGAAGTAACCTTCATTTGGTGCAGGAGAAAATGAGGTCTTGCAAAATTGCTATGCAGGTGTTGCAAAATTATGTTCTCCTACCTATCTGAGAGCAGTGTTCCCTCTTTATTTTGTTTTATTGCTTTTACACAGACAAAATCATTGGGGTTTTTTGAGTCTTTATATATCTGTGTGCATGGATGCATTTTCTTGTGCCTAGATTAGTAAATTGCAACAATGATTTCATCAGGCTGAGCCAGATGGATTGCTACCATACCCACTAGAAAACCTACTTTGGTTCTTCTGCACTATCCGTCAGACACAGTGCGAATGCTAATGTCAGATCTGCAGTAAAACAGCATTAGTGCTCTCAGCTCAATCCCATTATGAATTAAGCTCACATCATAGATCCATGTCTCCTTATAAATCAGCTGAAACATCCCAAGTCTTATCATCCTGAAGATGACAAAGGATCTTGCTGTGCTTGTGCCAGCTGGAGGGCTTGCTGAGAAGTAGGGCAGCAGTCCTCTTCCACTGGACTCTGGTATCACATTCTCAGTTTCATACTGACCTTTATGACTACAGGCCAGTAAACCACTGAGGAAAAGAGGGATGGTAAATCCTGGACAATGAAAGGGTTATAACAAAATGAATGGTTTATAATAAATTACTGGATACTGCTGCATGGTTCTCTCTTTTGAACATCAGAGGAATGAAACCTGATTGACAGTACTGTAGTATAGGTGATTTATCTGCTTTTTCTAGCCCATAATGCACCTGAAAAACACTTTGATCAGAGAAGAGTCCATCAGAAAAGACTCAGAGATGAACTTCTGCTCCAGCTGGATCAGAAACACCTTCTCATCACATGGAGGAGCTGCAGCTTCTGAACTGTTCAGACACAAGCATAAGTTTTTAATCCTTTTTTTTTTTTTAATCCAATTAACTCTGCATGCTGACACCAGTTGGGCAAAGGGCAGAAAACAAAGACTGTACTCTGCCACACATATCATCACTAGAACTGTTCACACAAAAAGATGATTCATCTTCTGCAGAGATGACCCTGCAGAAAACGAGGAGGTTGCACAGTGGGGTAGCACAGGGCAGTGCCCGCAGGCTCCAGAGGTCTACACATACAACTGAGGGCAGGGTTCAACCTGCAGACAAAAATATTACTCAGTGGAAACCACTCGGAGGGAGGTCGCTGTAGGAGCTGTCATGAAAATGATTAGACCTCCTGAGAGTAGCAAATCAAGGGGGAACTGAAGGTCTGTGCAGAGACGAGTCACCACATCAGCACCTTCCACCCGGCAAAAGGGTCTCTCCTGTGCTGGGAACCTTGTCTTGGGAGCAGTGCGGATGACAGGATCAGCCCTTGGCACTGTACATCTGCATGCAGATGGCCCCAACGCTGCATGGGGAGTGCAGACACCCAGCCCCTCTCCTGCACCACAGCTCCTCTGGTTTACCTAGTGGGTATCCAGCTAACTGCAGCTGCTAGTGGCCCCTCCAAGCCCTGGCACCTGACAGTTTTGCCAGCTTTCATCTGCATGACTCTCAGCAAAGTAGGAGAGTATTTGCTGAAAACCACCCAAAAAACATTTGGCAGAACATCAAATTAAACCTATACCTCATACCTTGGGTTAGGACTGTGATTACTCATTCTTTCTCTCTCTAGAAAGGCAATAGATTAAAGCATAGCTTTTTCACCCCCTTTGGCCTCTGCCCCTCCAGAACATGCATATGAAGGATTAGCAGGCAGTGATCATCTTCAAGAGAAGGTTGAGGACCAACGTTAATTATGAAGACGGCTTTTCTTGCAGTACTTTCCCAAAAAGATGTCATGCACCAAAAAGTGCCTAACAAACCTTAATGGGAGGCAAATGGGAAACACCAACTGCAAAGTCTGCTGTCCTTCGACTAGGATGAGCTTTATATC